CAAGTTTAACAATCCTTGTTAAAACTAGTGCCAACCATTACTACATAAGGTTATGGTTCTTGAGTTGCTTCAAGTTCCATGTACCTCCCACTTGGTTTGTTATTAGAAGCTTGTTATCTACTAACTTAGCTTTCACAAGAATAAGACAACTTATTCTTGGTAGGTTTGCATATGATAACCTAAGCCATATTTATAGTATTATACAAATATGTATTTAGTAGATTTTGGGATTAGAAGCTTTAGTCCAACATCGGCTTCAAATCCACAAAACATTAAGTAAGATAAGGATGGAGCCTTTCCATACTAAATCTTATAAAATGTTTAATCTACTTATTAGTTGGTATTTTTACTCAAGGTACAATTAATAGTGTTATATGTGTTATACCAAGGAAATAAAAGGATGATATTTCTACCGACTAGAAAATAAATCATACCAAATAAGATTTAATTCATCCTTTATTATCATTAAGGCTTTAGATGGTTCTTACCGGTTTGCATTTCAACTTTTGAAACCTTCTACAAAGATTTCACAATTATGCTTTACCATGTAAAATATAATTAAAACTACTATAGTTGTTAATAAAGTTGATGTGGTATCTTGTGCTTAATCTCAGACATTCATTAGAAAGGAAGTCATACACCAAAGTGTGTAGTTCCTTAATTATTTTCTCTATAGTTTAGTGAAAATATCACCAGGAATAATTTTTAATATAAATAAGGCTTACATATGTCAAATAAACTACATTATTTGCCTTCAAACATCCATTTCTTGAAGTTGGAATATGTGAATGCCACTTATATAATAAAGATAACAATGTCAAAGATGAATTTGATTTAAAACAACTTTAAGTCAAAAGTTTTTGTATATAGAACTTGATTTTATAAAATGTTAACATTTACTTTACAATTATATTAAGAGATCTAGTCTCCTAAATAGAAGTTAATCATTTAAGAATATGAACATTATCGTTATGAAAAAAATGAGTAAATTATCAAACATTTGAATATAACTGAGAAATAAATTTAGACATTATAAATTAAAACATACATTGTTCCAAAACAAATATTGTTTTACATTACAAATAATTTATGTTCTAAGCATAAATAATAAACTAAACTCCGAGAGTGTAGTTCCTACTTGACTGTGCTCAGCTGGTTACTCTTCAATAAATATCTACAAGGCATTTACAAATATTAGATTAACATTTAAGTACCAAGTACCTAAGTGTTATATGAAAAGTATGAGTTCTATCTAGTAGATATAAGAAGTACTTGTCTCTTCCAGACTTTGTTTCCAAATAAGAGGAGTAAATCCTCTTCCAGTGTCCAGTCTTTTCACAAAAGAAACAAGATCCATCTATTTGTACTTTAGTAGATTTCTTGGGCCTAAAGGCGTTCTGTCCATAAAACATGGGTCTTCTGGATCACACAAGGTGATTCTTTTAGCCTTGCATTATTCCAATGCTTAAACTAGCTTTAAATAAATATCAATGTATTTACTAGAATATTGTTTAACCTGTTATATCATCATATATATGTTTAAATTATCCAAAACCTCCTAGAAGTCATGAATAACTATTCCTAGCTTGATGTTAGAAGCATCTTTAGCATCATAGTGATGCCTTTACTAGGTATTATTTTCAGGTTTATTGTTCAAAGAAAATAGTTTAGGACTAGGACCTTTAAGTGTATACAATTTCATATCTCTCACGAGATTCTCTCTTAAGGCATGAACCCATTCATTGAAGTTGTATCTATTAAATGTTATTGTTTCATTAAGTTATTAAAGAAAATGACAATTCATGATAATGAGAACGGATTATTTAACTACAAAATTTTAACAAAATTCATTTATTATTTTCAATATTTAATCTTCAATAGTTAATACCCTTTTAGTTTCCAAAAACATTGATTATCAAAGTCTATGATCCAAGTTGCAAAACAAATAAATGGTTAGGTATCCTTTATGTCATCCATTTGAATCCAACCCGGTAGATATTAATTATCAATTATATCTTTCTATATAATTCATAGATTTATAGGATCTCTAATAGCAAATCTAATTAGACATGTTTGATCCTATCTATGCCTCAGAACTCTCTTGCTTAGGTATCTTTTATTACAAAAGATTTTCGATCAAATCATCCAATTTTAAAAACATGTGTAATCGGCCTATAACTTAGTTACAAAAATCGTGAAGACACCCCGGTCATCAAAATATAACACTAAGTTATTAAGTATCCTTTATCCCACTAGTGCATACAGGAGACGTGTGAGTGTTCTTCAAAAGGATTGCATAGATTTGAGGTTTGTAAAAAGCAGGGTCTTTATATGCTTTGTAATTATAGTTTAAAAACATATGATATCATGTTTATTACATACATATAATAAACCATGTATCAATTTTCAAAAGAAAATCACTTTTAAATGTTCTATATAAAAAGCTAGTTTTTATATAATTTGACATAATTCAATTTTAATAATTGGTATTAAGTTTGAGTGCATTTGAACCTTTTAAATATCTAATAAAACTTCATTTTATTACTTATATATTTGGAGTTTGTATAAGTTACAAAAATCACCATTTTAAAACTTATAATAGAGTATTTCAAAATCTGTCGTTATTAACGATTTTATAAAACCGGGTTTTATTTTTAAAATAATAACTTGTTACATCTTATGTCCAATTTTGGAAACCAAACTCCATGTGATTTTTATTTTGTCCAAAATTATTTTAGCATGTGAAAAACTAATTTATCAACCACACATAATAATTGCATAAAATATACAACACAAACATGCATAAAAAGATATGTGTATAAACATAACCAACTAATGAGATTTTTGTGAGCCAACACAAAAGATGTCATGTCCATTCCTAAAGGGACATTTAAGGGGACCAAAAAACTTCTTGTTATGTTGTTGTAGAAGCTCCCACTTGAGTAAACACTCATTGCTTGCAAAAGATTGGAAAAACTTCTTGAAAGCTAAAATTCAGCAACTATCGCTAAAGTCCAACAGCCCTTTGTAAACAACATTAGTGACATGTTTCAGAAAATGTCACTGAAAATCCCGCACACCTTTTAGACTCGAAAATTGCTCTTTTGTCTTCAAAAAATGGTTTCAACTTCATTTCTTGGTACATTTTTGTACAAATAAATTATTTCTAAGAACTACTCTATTACTTTACAAAAATAAATAAGAAAACTAATCTATTTAATTTATTACATACCATATGAATAAATAAATTATTACAACCATTTTCATAAAACAACCAACACAACAACACAATAAACACAATGGTCATTGGCTAGTTTATGCACATCATATACATCAACATACAAATAAAAAAACCTTTGTTTTTCTAAGACAACTTTTAAATGATAAAAGATGCATGAAAACTTTTGTCACATAAAATAATAAAAATAAGTTGTCATAGGAATATGTATGAGCTTATTTTTTATACAAAAACAAGTTATCCATATTCTCTAAAAACTAAGATTTCCAAAAATAAAAAAATCTAACCAAACTTGCAAGGTGGCTCTGATACCAATTGTTGGGTTTTAGTTTAAAAATAGTTTCATAAATTAGAAAAATATGGCAAACGGAACACTTTAATTTTTCAAATAACGTAAACATTTTATACCCACCAAGGATCTTCTTGCAAGTTATAAAAAGATTAAACATCAACCATAGAATTAGAAAGGATGAAGAAATAACAATCTTTGTTGTTCTTTGGGTCCTCTTGGGAGACTTGGAAGTTGATGAAGAATGTAGAACCTTTGAGACACCAATAATGATTCAACTTGATGTAGATGTTAGTCCATAAACTCTTAAACCCTTAAGCTTTTAGTTCATAACCAATATGAACTTAAAAAGGGCATGTAAATGCAAGTAATCTTCAAGAATTCTAACCAAAACTAGAGAAAGTGAAAGAGAGGATGCAAGTTTCATCCACTTCTCCAAAGGAAGAAAGATGATCACTAGCCCAAGTACAAGCCTCAAACTTATATGCATAAAGTGAAAGTATTAACCATTAGGTCTTAACACTTTAAGCACATACGTCCCCATGTCATAAACATGTCCAAGCATGCATTCTCCCATGCTTCATTTCTTTTGAATAAACAAATGGAAATCCCATAACTCTTTTCCTTTATCTAATTTTCGGAAAACCGTATATAAGAAAAAGAGTTTGTTTAAATTTTATAAACTCAAGTTTTATAAAATATAAACTTTATCTTTTGAGTAAAAGACAAAAGGGTTTCAACTAATCCAAAAGGTTGTGCATGACTTATTAATTTATACCATATGAAATAATATAATGTTACTTGCTAATGAAAATTATTATTTCCATGAAATAAATAATTTTCAATTTAATTTTAAGAGTTTTATTGAATATTTATTAAAATCAATTTCTAATAAAATAATCAATTATATCAAGTTGTTGTTAGTGTGACCCATTAGTATCATATGTTAATTAACAATACACTACGAATCTTTAAGGTTTTTAGAAATTTAGTCATGAAATCCACATTGATATGACCTCACTTGCAAATTAGGATCTTCACATAACTTCAAAATCAAAACTATGTACACTTATTAGCATCAAATTTCATTTGCGACCATCACTAATTCAACTTTAAATCATGGTACATCTTCATGCTCTTGGAATGGATATAGTATTCAAACTTATGGTCATCATCTAATAAGAAACCACATCTAATAACAAACCACATATGTTAGTTGCTTATCTTACATAATCTTCATGTCATGTTTTGTAATCCTAGAAACTACATGCTAATCCAAACATCTTACGACACCTTTTTCCCTAGGCATACTATGAAAACATCATTGTTCGGACCCCACAACATCTACGTGTCGTATTTTGGTATTTCGGACTTCTATTTCATCCAAAGAAGAAAACTTTGAACTAAATATTAATGACATTCCATGTAATTAATTTTGTTTATGGGAACTGTTGAGATTTTCAAGATTTAATATCTTATTCATGGGAAATATCGACATTTCCAAGGAAATGACAAATATACCCAGTCTTCGGATAGTGTTACTAATAACAAGAAAGGGGAAAAGTACGGACTACAATTAATTTAAAGGGATCTTACATTCTTACTCCTCTTCAATTTCGATCACCGGAGTACTTCATCGACGAAGACAAATGACTCAAGCTTATGGAGAGGCATGGTATTGGGACAAACGATACGCAAAGGAATCAACAGGAACTTTCGATTGGTACCAAAAGTATGAATCTCTGGCGCCGCTTCTACATCTCTACGTCCCTCCAACGACTATTCACCGGCGAATCCTCGTCGTCGGTTGCGGAAATTCTTGTAATTTACACCGCATCTCTCTCTCTCTCTCTCTCTCTCTCTCTCTCTCTCTCTCTCTCTTCATTTTACTGATTTTTGTTCTCATCTTATTGGATCAACGATATAATTAATCCGATACCTATATGATATATCCACTGTTACTTTTATTCATTTTTTCATCGGTTAATTATGTATCAGCCAAAATTGAGTTTTAGTTGTGCGTAATTGTATACCGACGATTTGATTTTTGTCTAGGAAAAAGTTTTGTATGAAATTCTTCTTTTTAATCCATTTATATTGTAGAGTTGTACTGTATGTAACACATAATATTTGTTTGAACGTCAAAATTCATTAGAACACTGGTTGTAATTAGGAATTGTGAACAAAATACCATGAGCTTTATGTAATTGATTGCACATGGAGATTTGATGATGAGATTGAATGTGAGTTTGACACTATATTTTGGTATTAGTTCCATTTAGCCTCATAATTGGCATCTTCATCGATTTAAGCATGATATTTCTTGCTTTTATGTTAAGGGCTATCAAAAACGTAGAGGACGCACTTTCCATGGACCTTGTTGGGTCAAAAATGTCAGATTCTAAGGTGACAAGAAATTCGACATCTTTGTTTTTGTCACACCATATAAATGGTATATACAAAATACATGCAAATCACTTTATTGCAGTAAAAAACAAACATACTTTACTGTTTTACTAATATAGGAAATGCGCTTTACTGTTTTGGGTTTTGTTTGCAATTATGGGTAACAATTACTTATATTGATATATACTTGTTTGCAGCATTTAGTGAAGGCATGAGCAACGATGGTTATACAAATATTGTGAATATTGATATATCATCAGTGGTTATTGAAGCAATGCAAAAGAAATACTCTGATTCCCCTCATCTTAAATGTACATTCTTCTCATAAATCATAATATAGCCTCTAATATGCAAAACAAATGATTTTTTCTTCCCATTTAGCTTCTTTTTTTGGATTCATTGGCTTTAGCAGATTTTGAAATGGATGTTACACATATGAAAGCTTTTGAAGATGGTTCTTTTGATGCAGTTATTGACAAAGGTGAATCTTTCTTCTCCAATGTTTTATGGAATTGTAATGTTCCAAATTTTTTATTTAATTATTAAGATATGGTACTTTGAAAAAATCTACCTAAATGCCATTACAACTGCCTTAAGTGGTTTTTTTCTTCTTTATTTTTAGCATAAAATCATCATATTTGACATCTAATGTCTTCTTTTTCATATGCTGTTTCCAGGAACCTTGGATTCTCTTCTGGTGAGTTTTTTTTTTTTTTTTTTTTTTTTTGTGTGTGTGTTTGTGTTGCAGACACTATTTTCTAATTTAACCACTTCACTATTTTTTATAGTGATTAAATCAAGTTACCCCCTTTTTTTACCATGTAAAAACCCCATTTTTCCTGATTAAGCCTCAACTTTATTTTTTCCCTAAAAAAGACCTTGTTTTTTTTTTTTTTGGGAAAAAAAAAAGGTACAAGATCTTTTTCAGGAAAAAAATAAATTTGAGAAAAACCACAAAATATAAGGTTTTGATGAGATCAACCCTTTTGAATTATGTCACTTAATTATTTTTTGCATTAATCACACTAATAATGGAAAGTCTCTTACAACATACAGTGTGGTCACAATTCAAAAACAAATGCAGCCAAGATGCTTGATGAGGTGGAAAGGTATATCGAAACAAGTTTTACGTATTTTTTATTACTTAAAAAAAAATTCTACTTTTGCAAATTTATTGGTTTTCCATTTTGATATGTTGATATATTGAAGCAGTTGATGACAAACTATAGGGTCTTGAAGAAGGGAGGAGTTTATATTCTGGTAAGCTAATAATTAATTGGTGCTGAGTATTAAAGATTTTCAAATGATTCCCATGAGTGATTAAAAAAAATAAAATAAAATAAAATATTGCAGATAACATATGGAATTCCGGCTTATCGACTACGTTTGTTAAGTGAATCACATTCATGGGCTATAAAGCTTCATGTCATAGGTAGTTTTATAATTTCTGTTTGTTGTCTAAGTTTTATAATTTATAGTTTATATATTTGCTTATTATAGAATCCTACTTTCATTTTTATTACAACATTTTACGTGGTTAGATCTTGGGTTAACTACTTAAAAGACCCTATATATTGTTTTTTTTTATTAAACCTTAAATTTATATTATTTTTCTATGGAAACCCTTGTGTTTTTTCATTTTTTTCAGGGTTGATCTCATAAAAGACCTTATGTTTTGTGTTTTTTTTCGGATTAAACCTTGAATTTATTTTTTCCATGAAAAAGACCTTGCATTTTTTTTCATTTTTTCCGACCTCGCCCTTTTAGTAATTTTTCTCCAAAAAAAGTTGTAAAATGTGAGGGTTTTTTCAGGAATAACTAAAAAAGTTGAGAAAATTTTTGGAAACGTTTAGAAGGTTGAGGGTTTATTCGGAAAGAAACGACAAAGTTTAGGGTTTATTCAGAAAAATGAAAAGATATAAGGTCTTTTTTCATGAAAAAAATAAAGATGAGGTTTAATCTGGAAAAACCACAATATATATGGTCTTTTATGAGATTTACCCTTTTTTTTATTCGGCACTTACATTTTTCCTTTTTTTTTTTTTTTTTAATTTGAACGTTACATATTTTCATTTTTTAGGGCCCCTTACATTTTTCTATTTTTTTGTGATTAAACCTCAACTTATTTCAAAAAAAAAAAATTCCTTACATCATTGTGTCAAACCAGGAGATTACCAGTAAACCTTGCTAAAAAGGCCAAACCGAAAAAAAAAATGTAAAGATGTAAGGGTTTTTTTAGAAAAAAAAAGTAAAGTGGAGGTTTAATCCAGGAAAAACCCAATATACAGGGTTCTTTATATAATTAACACTAAAAACTACCTTATTATAGCAAAGTCATACCCATCCAAAGCAATTTTCACTGATGCGATTTTCAATGTATAACGTGGTAATTAGAAAAAGAATTGAAAGTACAATGCTATAATTGGGTAGAGTATTTTTTTTAAAAAAGTAGAACTTCTAATAGAAAGATATTAAAGTAGTATGATATAATAAACAAATAAATGGAACTAATTTCCTAACCAAATAAAAAGGTAACAAGTTGTTTAGTTTTGGATTATAAATCCAAGTGAAACTCTGTGTTGGACACAGATAAACTTCTCCCTGGAGAATGTTCAAAGCACGAGACGTGGGAGCTAACTTGTCCTATTCCACTAAATAGTGATGGAAGCTTTAGGGAAAGTGGGCCCCTTGAGAACATGGATGTCCACTACATCTATGTTTGTACCAAGGTTAGTCTCATCACATCACATGACACAACACAACACAACAGGTTGTACTGTGTTAGACATGCATGAGACTGCGATTACGATGTTAATATAACAAAAATTGCAATTTTTTGTGCCAAACCAAAAAAGGGAGGGACATGAAATCGATCTCATGCTTTCGTATGTACAAAAAGACGTAAATACCCTCCGCATCCCCATCCTTGAAAATAGCCCTAGAAAGCTTGTCGTGTCATGTCTTCGCCGACTGCACAAGCTTTTGAGGGTTATTTTTATGATAAGGATAAGGAGGTCATTTATGTCTTTTGCACAAACAAAAGAAAAGACCATCTGAGAGCGAATCTTTGCTTCATCTTTTTGGGTGCAATTTTTGTCTAATTGACATCGGTATCATTCCTAGTCCATTGCATGTCAAATGCAGTATAAGTTTGTTTAATGTTTTTTTATAGCATGATGATGGTTATAATTTTTGAGTGTAGGTGTAAAGGGAGAAACAAATTTAAAGAGTTTGTTGAACACAAACAGAGTTCTTGTCTGTAATGAGGTTTGCTTAATTAATAAATACCGGATTCAACAACATATGTAAGTCGTGATATGTCCGTTTTGATATTTTCGTTATGGTGAATATAGATTATATCATTATTATTTTATTATATTATCTATAGTTGGTAATTTTGACTCGTTATGTTTTATTTCTAACGGGTTATATGAGTTAAAAAGATGGGTTAAATGGGGCCAAAAAAGCGTATTGAAATGCATAAAACCTCTACGATTATTTTATTAAGAATTGTTTAATTAGCATATAATAATAGGGATAATGTCATAAAAAGCCTTAAATTTGGCAAAAAATGTCAGTTTTACCCTTCGGTAGATTTTTGGCTCGTTTATACCGCAAATTTGTCATTTTTTTTGTTGGTTTTGCCCAGGTTATTATGAATTTTTTTTGCAAAAAAACCCTTAAGTTTACAAATTTTTTGCAAAAAAACCCTTAAGATTATAAATATATAAAATATAAATATATATTCAAAATTTGATAAAACTAAATGGTTTTCTACTGAAACATATTTTTAGTTTTACATACGGTAACTTTTATATTTGTTTGATGTAAACTTTTTATATTTAAATTTTAAAAAACTTACCTAGTTTTAACAAAATTTGAATATATTTCTTAATTAATACTTCAACTTTTCAAAACAAAGTTAAAAAACATTTGTTAGTTAATAAATAATTATGCTAAAATAGTTAATATGAATAATATGGTATCATGTACATTCAATTAATTTTTTTAAAAGGTAAATAAAATATTTTATATGTTTAAAAGGTTTGTATTTCAGAAATACTAACATATCGTATTTTTTATATGTTTAAATACATAATAATATAATCATATTTTTTTATAAAAATATCATAATCATTTTAAACATCAAAAATAAATATAAACATTTTAAACATATAAAATATAAATATATATATATGTCTAATTTATGGTATAAATATATTTATTTTTATATAAAATATGATAGTTTATTATTTATGAAATTCAAACCTTTTAAACATATAAAATATTTTTATTTTTGTTTAAAAAAAATAATTGAATGTCACTAATGTCATATTATTATTAGCTAATAGATGTTTTTTAATGTTACTTTGAAAAGTTTAAGTATTAATTAATAAATATTTAAATTTTGATAAAATTGGTAACTTTTTAAAAATTTAAATATACAAACTTCATATCGAACAAATATAAAATTTACCGTATATAAAGCTAAAAATATGTTTCAGTAGAAAACTATTTAGTTTTATAAAATTTTGAATATATATTTATATTTTATATGTTTATAATCTTAAGGGTTTTTTTGCAAAATATTTGTAAACTTAAGGGTTTTTTCGCAAAAAATAATTCACAGTAACCTGGAAACCTGCTATTGCAGGTAACAAGGGCAAAACCAACAAAAAAAATATCAAGTTTGCGGTATAAATGAACCAAAAATCTGCCGAAGGGTAAAACCGACACTTTCTGTCAAACTTAAGATTTTTTATGACATTATCCCTATAATAATATAACATATATGCACATTAAGATTCATGTAAGAATATGAATGAAAAGGTATTTATTAGTAAGAGGTGACATTTTAACTCCCCTAAAATTAATTACTTGATATCATAATAAATGTTTCCTTAATAAAGATCGAACACTTTTCCATTAAAGATTTGATTTGAATAGGTGCAATGTATGAGTTCTGAATTGTGCGAAGCAAATATGCAAATAGGAATGCAGCAAGAAAGTATTGGTTGCAATTTGGATAAAAATAACTCAATTTAACCAGTTAAATACATCAAAAGATGTTAAGTATTAGTTAAGTATTAGGTTGGTTTATAAACGGGTACTATAATTTTATATCCGATCTAACTTGTGTAACCAAATGGGTTGAAAATTCACAAACCATCCCAACATTTTTAGTAAATTGATGGAAATTGGATTGATTTGTTTTTTTTTTTTTTTTTCTCCATCCCAATATGTTTAGTAAATAGGTTAAAGTCAGGTTGACACATAATATTTCAGAAAAAAAACCCCTTAAAAACTATAATCCTTCAAATAAAATTACATTAAACATAAAAACTTCAATAATTGTTCAACTTTGAAAATAGAGTAAATTACATGAATGGTCCCTATGGTTTGGGATAATTTGCGCGTTTGGTCCCTAACTTATTTTTTTAACTCGGAAGGTCCCTACTATTCGTTTTTGTTACGCGCTTGGTCCCTACTGTTTGTTTTTGTTACGCACTTGGTCCCTGTCTTACCTAAAAATATCATTATTTAAATAGGGAAAAATGGTGGGGTGCGTAAGGTAATGTGTGAGGAGTGGGGCTAAGGGTGTTTTTGTTTAAATAAATTAAAAAATCAATGAAAAAATAGTCTTTTTAGGTAAGACAGGGACCAAGTGCATAACAAAAACAAACAGTAGCGACCTTCCAAGTTAAAAAAATAAATTAGGGATCAAACGCGCAAATTACCCTAAACCATAGGGACCATTCGCGTAATTTACTCTTGAAAATAATACAATTATAAGTCTGTCTGTAAGTTCATAACACAGACATAAATCAAGTGTTTTATAAATGTTTAATTATTCTATTTTTATTTTCACAAACTAGGCTTTCAATAACAATTACTAACCCACATTCTTTGAGAAATTAAAACTAATCAAAATATAATAATCCATTAAATAATAATACTAAATAAATAAAAATATAAATTAAAAATTATTTAAAAATAATAAACGGGTTTGCGGGCTGTAAATAAGTTCAAAATTTCAACTCTAACTCAACCCATTTAATGAAACATGTTAGACTAGTTGACCACTTTAATTAAATGAGTGGATAATTTTAACCCAGTCCTAGTATATACATGGTGGAAAGGTGTTGAGAATTCCATTAGACCTTTTCCTTAAAAAAAAAAAAAAAACTAAATTTTTACCTATTATTTGTTATTTCAGCTCCAACAAGTAACTTGTTTTTTTTCTTCATAAAAGACCCTATTTTATGATTTTCCCTCTTTTTAGATCTATTTTTTTTAATCAAAATAAACCTAACTTTAACCTATTCATTGTTATTTCATTAATAAAGGTGACTTGGTAACCATATATCCCTCTAACTCACATGCCCCTAAGCATCGATCACCTAAAAAACAACTTATTTTAGTAAAAAATGTTGAAATAGAATTTTGCTATCTTGAGGATGAAACTCATCTACTTACCTCTGTTCCAAGTTTGTTTTCACAAAATTGAGTCTACTTATAAATGTTGTCCCAAGACTATTTTTATAATGTCTGATAGTATTTTATTTTAAAAGTGTATTGGAATAGTTTTTTTAAATAAATTGTTTTTTTTTTATTACCTTTAAGTCCACTTTATCTCAAATATTTATCATTGTTTTACAATGGTACTATATTTATTTGAAATTGCATATAAGGAGGGTCTATACAAAACCATTTTTTTAAACTGGTGTTTAAAAACCAAAACCACTGGGACATGAAATAAACAAACGAGCTTCATCCTCATAGTAAGAAGATAATTTCATTTTAATATTTCTTATTAAGTTTATATTCCTAACTTTAAGAAAAAATTATTTTAAGAGACCCAATATCATGTATGAGAAAAAGATATAAAAACGTGACCTAGAGTTTTAGAATAAATTATTCTTTTAGATGATCAATATTTAGGGCGCATATAAGTTAAAAATATAAGGTTATCCATTGGTAAGTGGTTTCATCAATGAAATAATAAAGAATATATTAAAATTAAGTTTATTTTGAAAAAAAAAATAGGTTTAAAACCGAAAGAAATGCAAAATGTAGTTTTTATGGGAAAATAAGTATGTTGCAAACCTGATGGAGGATGAAATAACAAATACTGTATTAGATATAAATAAATTGGTGCATTTAAAAAAAATTAAATGTTAAAGGAAAAAAATCTTTTATGGAAAATCTCTTAATATTAACTAGGTGTGAAACCCGTGTATTATACTGGTTGATAAAAAAAATATATCAAAGTTTAAATATAAATAATTTTTTAAAATAAAATTTCAAAATAAATAGAGATATTCAACTAATGAATAAATAAAATCACTATTGAGAAGATCATCCATAATATCAATGATTGTTGTGTCATATTCATTAAATTTATTATCATATTCGATGTATTTTAATATATCTTATATATATATTTTAAGATTCGTTGCATTTATTATCACATTAAATATATTTAATACCTTACATATATAAATTTAGTATTATGTGGCATATTAATGGATTTAATTCAAAAAACTACAAAATAACGTATGAATTTAAATTTAATCAAAAATTTTACAAAATTATATGTATCAAATTTAATAAGAAGATGACATTTGACAAAATGATCTTCATTTATTAAGATAGATTATTGTTAACAAATATGAACGTAGATTGCAAGTGAATGATAGTTAAAAAAATTGACTACTTTGTCTAAATCTATAAAAAAGAATAGATTATGTTATTATTTATTATAACTAGTTTATAACCCGTGAGAACTAAGGTTAAAAAATTAATTAAACTTTTATAATAAAAATTCAAAATTATTAATCAATTGATTTAAATAAATTATTAATTAAGAGATTTTTTTTAGTTATATAAAATTATATCATTGATTTAAATAAATGTGTGAAATTATATCATTTTATAATTTGTATTAATTTAATTTTAATTTTTATTCTAATGTTATTAGTTTAATATAATTAAAGTGAAAAATTTAAAATTTAAAATTTAAAATGAAGAATCAATAGGTTGACAAGTGGTATTTATTAATTAGGAAACATAATAAGGTGACATATGACAAAAGAAAAATAAAATATACATTAATTAGGAGAGCTAATAGGGTGACAAGTGTTAAAATAAAAATAAAACTATTCTTTTATTATAATAGGAAGATTTTTCCTAAAT